CGCGCTCAAGGCCCGCGATAGAAGCTATGCAATAGTTTAAAAATAAAACAGACAATGATCAAAAATTTTACGCGTGATCAAAATCAGGAAAGATATCATTCATCATCACCTTCTTCCTAATCGGCCCGTAATAAACCATTGCTGGAACTACATATCAATAGATATAAAGAGAGATATATATTTGTAAAATATGTGTTAACAGGAATATCATAGATTGTACAATTCATCATCACCACCACCGTCATCATCGTCATCGTCGTCATCATTAATCATCATCATCATCATTACAGCCCTTCATAAGTTTGGCACATACTTGAGCTATCTGCACCAAATTTTGACATTGCGGAATTTGAATTTGAGTTCGTTGTGATTGTTCCTTAATACCAGCTTTAGTTACAAGTGTTTAGCATTAGCTCCCTCATCTGCATATTAATTAACAAACAGAAACTCTCTATAAAAGAGACTTAAACATAAATTGTAGTTGAAACGACTAATTACGTCTCTTAAAACAACACACCTTTATTGACAGAGCTAAACGAATGGTCGACAGAACGGTGCATTAAAAATAAAACTGTCACAACGGCTTACAATAGACACAGCAAACGCAGAAAGAAAACGTAGTGATTATATAATCTTTGCACACAGCTTTCATTTAACTTAGGTTCTTATTATTCTTATTGATATCACAATGATATGAAATACACAGTGCCATCTACATACATAGGTATATATTACTGCTACGTATATCTAAGAATATGGCCCCCAGTAGATGTAGTGACGACCTGGTAAGATATACAGGAAGTCGGTATGCAGGTGTCTTGTCTCAAGACCGTGTTTTGTGGCATTCTTTGGGGGAGGCCTATGTTCAGCAGTGAACTTGTGAAAGGCTGTAATGATGATACTGACGACGATGATGTGTAATAGATTTCTTAATAACATTTTTAACCTATTTCCGGATATCTAAATAATACAATATTTTGATAATTTACGAATGAAAAAACTATCTTTATGATCTCACAACTCATAATAAATGCGCATTGTTTAAATTTTAAAACTACTGTAATATCTATATAATTAACAACTAAATTAAGGAAATCAAGCAATTATTTTTCACCCGCACATACCCTTAAGGGATTAACAAAAAAACGCAACAATGAAACTGCGGTGGTAGCTGAACTATTTTCTTACAGTCATCCTGACAAGTGTTGGGTGTAAACAAACTTTACGATCCCTCCGTGGAGCGAAAAAACTTTTTCCTTTTTCGACTACAATCGTAAACGGTCCTTTATTGAAATGTTTTAGAGCTCTGAAGATGTTTAGCACCATATGTTTGGCGCCAGGGGACCTAAAACAACATTAAAGTTTAGCGCCACGTGATAGAGAGAATACCGCATCCGTTTATAATGTTTTGCTAACTGACAGATAAATAAATACGGATTTGAGTTGTTTATACTTATCTATGATCTTATTTATGTTATTCTAATGTGGATCCTGAATTCAAGTAACACACAGTGAACATAACATATTACGTAAATTATTTGCTGTGTAGTTAGCCAAGGTAGTTTAGTTGCTAAGCGCTCGGCGTAGATTTCATTGTACCCTACACGAAACCCGAGCTCGATGTCAGCACCCATTAAATTGTTAATCGCAATCATAAGTGCTGATTAATCACATGACTGATGGCAAAGAAAATCTCCGTGAAGAAATCTACATGTTTGAAGAATAAAAATGTTTCGGAAACTTGTTTCCCTAAGTCCATCCTCGCACCCTGTTATGAAGCTACGCGGCGGACTAACTATTCTATAACCATCTTGGAAATGAGAGAAGGCCCTATTAATCGCAAAAGCATTTCATTTTAAAACTGTAATCAACGATCAGAAATTCATTTCATGCATTTACACTTGTTTGAAATGCATTTTGTTATTTTTTTTAAATAGAATAAGGGTGACAAACGAGCACACAGTCCACCTGATGGTAAGTGGATGCTGTGTCCCATAGACATCTACATTTATCCTCGATTAAGAATCAAAACGCAGATGCGTTGTCACCCCTGAGAACTAAGATGGAATGCCTCGTTTCCAGTAAAAAACGATCTCCGGACTTCTACACTCACCATACGAAACACAGGAGTATTAAGCTGCTATTACATGCTGGTATTTTGTGAGAGCGTGGTCCTGCTCCGGTCGAGCCGACCCATCCGTGCTACAACCATAATATAGCTGCAGCATGACTCTACCACGTATAACCGCGTGAATATAGGTTTAACAAACTTATCTTTCAACATGACAATATTTCTACAAATTTGTTTTCAAACATTTTGTTTCTGTATATATAAAAATATAATATAGTTAAAATATGTAATGTATCAATAAATTTTCAAACATATTTTACTACAACATGCTCTTTGACTATGCAAACGCTTTTTGATACATTGACAGAAAACAGTGTTTAAAACATGTTTTTTTTTTGTGAAAATCGCATCAGTGCAAACTCACGGTAAGGAATACAACAAAGTAAAAACTAAAATTAAAAGTAAAATGTTATTGTTAAATCGCAGAAGTCTTAATTGAATGGTACACTTTGGCCCAGTCAATCAATTAATAATTTACATTATTATGTTAATGTTGTTGAGTGTAACCGAATTTGGTTAGCAATAATAACAAATAGCGTGGGGTGCGCACAAAATAATAATTTAGCAATCAAATATTGCGAAGTGAATAAATCGGCGCGCAGCATTCGTGTGCCGCTTTATTTGCTGTTATAATAGTTCACATTGAAAAATGCGGTGCTTTATGTATAATGGAAATACAAATGTGGGGTACGTACGGCCATCTGTCGCCTCAGAGTTGGGTTTGAATCCATTTGTATATTAATGGCGTTTTCATGTCACGGTTTTAATAATTTCGATGCGTGGTTGCAATTTTTGGTGCATTTTTTTTTAAATTAATTTATGACTTAAAGTACATTACAAAAAATGTAATGTGTGCTAAAACAGTTGAAAGAAAGTACACATATATACAATATATTATATATACACACGCACTATATACATACATATATATATATATATATATATATATATATATATATATATATATATATATATATATATATATATATATTTATAGCTATACGCTTAGTTAGGTCAGGCCTAATTATTTTATTAGGTTATTAGTCAGGCCTAAACTTATCAACCCTACAAGCTTAGTGGGTATCAGGCAAACCTTTCAAGTTGTTTCAGTCCAGCTCTAGTGTCTTTTTGGCGCATTCATAAAAAAAGAAGATAAAAAGGAAAAAAGGTTCGTACAAATTTACAATAAACTACCTAAAAATGTAAAAGTGTAAGCTCACTTATCAGTTTTAAGTCTAAACTGTCTTAATATGTTATTAACAGCTATGCACTTTTTATTTAATATTTAAAATTATTAACAAATTAATAATTGAAATGGTAATAGGAAAGCATAATGTAACTTGAAAAAGGTGCCCGACTTGATAGTGTGACAACCGGCAAGATATACAGGAATCCGATGGATACAGACCATATTTTGTGGCATTTTTCGGGGGAGGCCTCTACTCAGCAGCAAACTTGTGACACTGACAAATAACAATGATGATGATTCAACATCATCATCAACAAATTAATATTACAATCATATACTTGTTAAGTGATGAGTGCTTGGTTCGTTGATCATTTCTTAGAATATAATCTTTTTTTTTTGCGACTTAACGCAAAAGTGTAACTGCAATTATAAAGCCCGGGTACATTATCAATAATATATTTCGACTTTGTAAAACTTCGATGCAAAACTTAAAACCGAGACTACACTGAGTAGGCAGGTTACGTTTAACATCGTGTCGGTAAATATGAATATTAAACTAGGGTTGACGGAAAATATTTGAATATCGAATTAATTCACGATTGTCATGTTTGCTTTAAGTAAACTGACTTGCAAATTCCGTTTAAATGACTTACGGTGTAGTGGCGTTGTAAGAAGTTCCACTACTTCATATCGTCCCGTGGGTGTCGTAAGAGAGGACAGAGGGAAACGAATCAGGAGATGGAGAATCAGCATCTTCCTAATAATTAAAATTAAAAAAAAGAAAACAACCCGCTTACCGAGCGTGGCAACTATGGCAAATATCCTCTCTACGGAGCAATCTATGGGGGGGGGGGCTACGTTCAGCTGTGAAATTTAATAGGCTGTAACGGTAACGGTAAACATACTAAGTGATAGATGTCCTTTTGCGCCTATGAGTTTTGTTTCGTTTTTTTAAGCTTTGACGACTCCGTGGCGCAGTGGCTTAGCAATGAGTGGCTGCGCTGGGGGTCGTGGGTTCGAATCCCTCACGGAACAAGTATTTGTATGGCCTACAAATGATTGTTCCGGGTCTGGATGTTTGTTCTTGTGCAGTTTATGTTTGTAAACTGCCCCCACGATACAGGAGAAAATCCTAGTGTAAAAACTAACTAAACTGCAGTTTTTTGTCCAAATATAGTATAAGGGTGACAAACGAGCACACAGTCCACTTGATGGTAAGTGGATGCTGTGGCCCGTAGACATCTACATCCATCCTCGATTACGAATCAAAATGCAGATGCGTTGTCACCCGTGAGGACTAAGGAGGAATGCCCCGTTTCCAGTAAAAAGGTCTCCGGTTCTCTACACTCACCATACGTAACACAGCAGCATTGCGCTGCTATTTTACGCTGGTATTCTGTGACAGAGTGGTCCTTCACCGGTCGAGCCAACCCATTCGTGCTACAACTATAATATAGCTGCAACGTGGCTCTTCCACGTACTATAAGGCTACCATCACGTGGACCGTAAGTTCGTTTTTCAATTCGGTTTTAAATGAAGCACTCTAAAATTGACCTTAATTTGACCACCGCAAGCCCGAAAATTAAACATATGGTACAAAAAAAAAAACAACATAACCTTACCACATGAATTATTAACACGTCAAATATTCGGAGAAATTGCTTCCTCTAGATAGAGATGTTATTTTTGAAAACGTATAAAATTAATTGTGCAGTATCTCCGCGCATCTGCTGCCTCTATTGTCCTTTTTTTGTCCGTCTTTTGCTTACAATGGTGGACGCAGTATGAAAGCATGTTAAATATACGACGTCGATTTCTCAGTGGTTCAACAACACCCACCTCAGTCGCGAGTTCGGGATTAGAATCTCTGTAACAGTTTCCACAATTTGCAATTTAAGAATTATTGCTTTTTATTCTGAAAGTAGTAGAAATGCCCCTTATGTATAAGATATAATATACATACCTACTACAAGACTGCCTCGTTGGTCTGGTGGTTGTAGTAGTGCGACTGCTGATCATGAGGTCCTGGGTTCGAATACTGAGTCTGGCTAACAAAATCAATTATTGAGGTTTTCCGTCAAGAAATTCTCAGTAACTGCCCGGAGTTAGGAAGTTGGCGGTGTCTCATCCCCGTGCCTCGGAAAGCACGTAAAGCCGTTGGTCCTGCGCCTGATCTCTCTCCGGTCGTGTCGGTTTACCGCCCCATAGGATTATGAGAGTGAGGGCATAGAGAGTGCACCTGTGCTTGCGCATTCATTTGGGCACTATAATCCTGTCCTGCGCCGATGGCTAGCCTCCGTTGAGGCAGGCCACCGTGGCCGAAATTCGGTCTGGAGGACATTAATATAGATAAGGGGAATTTCTGGAACAATTAAATACATAATGATTTCTTATATTTAAGCGAACACTACACATGGTATGAAATTAATAACAAAGGATCACGGGGGGGGGGGGATTGTATGAAGTGTTTGACGTTCCGATATCTTAGTTAGCTCGTACTTCAGTTTTTAAATATTAATTGTCCAGAACGAATCTGCGTAGATCGGACCGATACAAGCAACTCTATAGCAACTAAAATTAAAAAAATATTATACGAAACCATATCACAAATACAGAGACCCTTGTATTTCTCTTGTAATTGTTATGACTTTGATACGTTGGCTTCTCTTACTGTGCTATAATATACCGGCTTGCTTTCTGTACAAAAATACCTGTTACTCGTATTTTCATTACAAAATAATCAGATTATTGCAGGCTGAGGTCGGAATAACATCAAATATAATGGTGAACGCAGAAAGCACGTTAATAATGTAAGCCGATCTTGTGTATCCAATTCGACCATTAAAATTCATGTAACCGATACTGAGTTTATCAATAATCATTTTCGTTGCTCATATAGGTAAGTCGGCGCAACAACCTTGCTTCCAGACTCGTGTTACCGATAACAATCAACGTAAACCAACGATAACGGACGTACCAAAAGCAATTCCTTAAATCAGGTACATTTCAATTACCATATAAAACGTTCCTATAAACTCCACGACTGACCGGACCTTGATAATCATCTAATCAGAGATCATTTAAATAGTTTATATCCTACCAAAAGGTCCAATCATAGCACAAAAATTCAATCGATATAAAACTTTAACTAATTAGTTCAGTAATTGTATACTTATGTGTATATATTAAAATACTTTTTTATATCAATATCTTATATACGGTTTCTGTATTTGTTTATTTTTTTAGTTTCTTTTCTTTTTTTTTTCTTTCAATTTTTACTTGACTGGTATATAAATATAGAATGCTTTCAAGCACTAGTTCCACCATTTGCATCTTTTTTGTTTTCTCAGGGAATGCAATAAGGACTTTCATAATTAGATATTATAGAAAATATAATCCATTACAACTAATTGAGATTTTTTATTTGATACCATCTTGTATTTAATATCATCCTTTGATTTAATTTAAGCATTTTGTATTGAACTTATATGTTTCGATTATTTTGTACACTCGTACCTTCGATCAATAATAGTACACTCGTACAAACGTATTACGTAGTTGTGCATGTATTTTAAAATTAAAGATGGATAAGAATGTGCTTCGGCTCTTTAGATCATCAAAAAGTTGCCAGACTCTGTAATGAAAAAAAAAAACGGAAGTCGCTACATCGTGAATTCGTTACATCATGTACGGAGGTTTATTTTCTCGTATTCAATGAGATCAAATAAAACCACGACCTTGTTCGCAGCCACTGTTTAGGGTAAATTAAAACATTATTCGAATGTTTGCATAAAGTCCAAATGCGGGAATTGTCTGTTCTTTTTAAAAACAAAAACTTTATATTTTAATTGCCTACATCTGTAAAAGCGGTCAGAGGGTCTGGGTTTATAGCGTTTTGTTTTACAATAAATTGCTAAGAGACAATAACGTTAGTTCGAAACAAAAAAGGGAAGAAAAAATGAATAAAGAAAATAAAGCGCATAATGAATTAAACAACATAATGAGCTGTCGATTTTGGATCAAGAGGCTACACCTGCGTAGGAAACTGAAATGTCTTCATTAAAATGAGCTCGTCGGAGAACAGGTGTATTTTTTTAGGTCCCTACAAACCAATAATTTAGGCCGCCTGTAACGTATAAATGCTTGCGGACGTATTGGTGTAGGTTTTTATGTTAGGATGCAGGGGTGTTTGGTACAAAAAAAGGCAAAAACCACTGCACTGGTTTTGCAACATTAATGCGTATTGGAATAATACATCGTAGTTGTGTCACACTTTTTTGTTTTGGATTTATATTTGTTTAATAAACAATCCATAAATATATAATTAATACTTGAGATTGTTATAACTTGGTGAAACTGTAGCTTTACTTTTATAATTTGGATAACGTTTTCAGTGAAGAATATATAATTATATACCAGATAAGTATTTTAATGTTTTTCTTATTTGATAGTTTTGAGTGGTACACATTTGAAAACTTAAAGTATCGTAGCTTATATTGTAAGAAATTAATTATCTAAGTACCTATAGATTTAAATTCTATTAAGTAACATAAGCGTAAGAAAAATATTTTGTTATATATAAAACAGCGTCTTCAGTGTTTTACTCGACGCTGTTTATAAAGTCACGATCCCTGTAATTGTTTCGCTTATTCCGTTGACAGGCACCCCAGGGAAGCACCGATTGGCGGGACTCTTGCAAGATGGCGGCCGACCTCGCCTGACCCATCCGTCAAGCGCGAAGATGAAACATCTGTTTTAACATGTCGGAGTGGCAGTTAATAAAGGCATCTCACTCTTAATGTTTTGAATTTGGAAAAAAAACCTTTCGTTTTCCTTTTTTGCCTGAACGGTTTGTTCATTCAGAGTAAAATTTTTTAATCCATTATTTTTGCAATATACTTTTTTTTTTGTAAAATGGAAGATACAAACGAACTTGCAGCTCATCTGATGGTAGGTAATTTGCTAAGCAGGCCATGGACATCTTTAGCGATTTTCAAACAAAAATGGCTTATCAAAATGCTTTGTCACCCATAACTTTCAAACCGGAACACATCAGTCCTTGAACTGCGGCTTACCCGTAGAAATAGGTACGATGATGATACTTACCTGGACGAACTCCTAGACTGAAAATGAAAACTAGCAGTCCTAGTACATCACTATAAAGATGTTTCAGCCAACGGTATTAGATATTCTGCTTAAGAGTCTAGATAAGTGTCATACTTTTGTCTTTTTCTAAACTGTTTGTGTTATACACACCTTATGGTGCATTATGATTTGAAGGGGGAGAAAGTAAATGCTACTAGTACTACCATCTACAGCTACAGCTTGCGAAGCGTTCAATTTTGTTGTTTAGGTGTGTAAAGGTATATGTGGCCTCCTTTTTTAAAAGTAGACATTTTCATGGATCGGTTCTATAGAGGAAGGACCACGCTCTCACATAATACTAGCGCAAAATATAATCTTAATACTGCTGCGTTTCGTATGGTGAATGTAGACTTTATGTAGAGATTTTGTACATGGTAGAGCCATGCTACAGTATTATTAGTAGTATAGTTGTAGGATGAATGGGTCGGCTCAACTGGGAAAGGACCACGCTGTCACAGAATACCAGCGTAAAATAGTAGCTTAATGCTGCTGTTTTTCGTATGGTTAGTGTACTTCTTTTTTTACTTTTTTACTTTTTTTTTTTTTAAAAGTTTTGTATAAGGGTGATTTTTTTATGGTGTGGGAATTAAAAAATTTTTTGAGAGCCGGCGACCTTTTTTACTGGAAACGAAGCATTCCATCTTAGTCCTCACGGGTGACACTACATCTGTATTTTGATTCTTAATTGAGGATAAATGTAGAAGTCAATTGTCTCAGCATCCACTTACCATCAGGTGGACTGTGTGTTCGTTTGTCACCCTTATTGTATAAAAAAGGGGTTCATTTGTTGCGGTGGCTAATTACAAAATAGTGGTTAGTTAGATCGTTTGACGCTCGAATATTATGGCACATGTAACTTTACTTATTAATTAAAATAACAGAGAATACAATATCTTTTTATCACAAATAACACGAAGAAGCGCATTAAAGGGTAACCATCGAGACAGTGCCACTTTAAAATCTTAAATTTCATAAAAGCGGGTTGTCAATGGAACTCTTCTAAATTAAATAGGCTTATAAAGTTAGTATAAAAGAATATAATGGTCGTAGCCCGAGGCTCGCAATTTCCGTTTGCCTCTGTTCGCTACCGAAATTTTCTGTGAATTATACGTAGTGTAACTTTGATTGTATATCATGCTAGGGGCTTGTTTAGAACAATCGTTAGCGTGTCGTACGATCGTTTCTTAACTCCTTTATTTATTATATATTATGTTAAATATATCACGCGGTGAAATAAAAGACCTTTAAACGAGTGATGAAATAAGCAATCTTCGAGTACATAAAAGCAATATAGGGGCCAAGTTTGTAAATTTGCTCAAAGTAAACTTGAAAACTAAGAAAGTAATTTTTAGCGTCTTTTGTGATGTCTATCTATCCATTATAGCCTATCAAAGTTCACAGCTTATCATAGGCCTCCTCCACTGATTGCCTCATAGATATTGGCATAGACGTAATATAAGCTAAAACATTTACTGCTTCGTAATTAATTTTAATTGAAGTATTTTAATAATATTACACTTTAAACGAACAATTAATTTTCTTTATAAGTCATTAGTTATCGTAATCCATAATTATTAGATACCCTTAATAGCGCTGAGTTTTTGGAATATTTGTACTGGTAGTCTCTTTTAAATGAAATAAATAGTTTATTATAAATATTTCTAATGTATATATATAATTTTTATTATATATATATATATATATATATTTTTTATAAGATATGTCACAAACCTTGTCAATGACTTCATCAATGCCTCTGCAACATCTGAAACCAAGAAATTTAGTTTTGTTAAATATTTTCTTACACTTATATTATTGAACAGTAAACAAACTTTGGCAACTGTTTTGGGCTTGTAACATTTTCTTTCAATTCACATATCACCGACAATGGAAAGACGGGGCAATTTTCTTGACCATTATCATTACCATAAGAACACGATACCTAATGATTCCACTCTCAAATCCCTTAACAGGTAATTCCTTATACCTGGAAGGTGCTCGCGAACGCATCTTGAACGCCGATTTATAGCCGAATACAGCCATCCTTATCGTCGTCTTTTAAATTTATATGAGCATCTCTTTCCTCTAGTGCCCTGTGCGGGGATCTGAGCAAACATCGTGCGTTCTGAATTAAGCAATTATGTTTAATTTCAAATCTCCCCATAGCCGGTCTTGGCGGCGAGAGAATGTGTTATTTTGAGTCATAATTTGTGAGAAGGCATCCGACTGACCAGCTGTAAATTATACACTATATAGGTTATTTCTAAGCAAAGTGTAAGGCTGCTGTGAGAGTGTTACACATCAGTTACTACAAAAGAGGCCTCATTTTATCTGATGAGATAAATTATTTCGTGAATAGGTGTTAAAAGTTTATTTTATATTTTTATTATTAAAAAGCTACATTTCGAATTATATTATGGTACAATTAACGAATCACCTAGTTTAAGTGAATCTAGCCTTGATTGAGACATATAAGCCTTTAGTCATTATTTATTTATTTATTATTATACCTACTTACTACTATCAATAAAGGATTTCTCTTATACGATAGATTAGTCAGGATTTAGTTATAATAGACACCATAAGTCTATAAACTATAACATAGAAATAACGTGAATAATTAGAAACGCTACTGTAGCATCAAAGTATTTTTTTAATTTGACTATTGCATTATACTGGCAGATTTTTTACCGTCTTGTGTTTTTTTATAGAATAAGGGTGACAAACGTGCACACAGTCGACCTGATGGTAAGTGGATGCTGTGACCTATAGATATCTACATTTATCCTAGAATAAGAATCAAAACGCAGATGCGTTGTCACCCCTAAGATGGAATGCCTTTCCTTTCAATGGAATAGAAACCTATGGCACTGATATATTACAATGTTTATTTATATATTATAAAATTGATCTATCAATAAATGCTACTAATTTGAAACAAACTTTAAGTACTAAACAAATAACAACAAAATTGTTGAACTAAATAAATAAATCAATTTAAAACTATCGAAATTAAAATAACACGTACACAATTAGTAGTATTTATTGATAGATCAATTTCATAATAAATATGTTAAAGTAAAATAAAAAAAAATTGTAAAATATCAGTGCCATAGACTACTATTCCGTTCACCTGTTAAACCCTATTTTATTCCAGACGGAAAAAAGTCATCCACTATATTACGTGACAAAGCCACCCTCCGCCAGTGTTATGGCTGTATCACACAAGTGATTCAATGCAACCGACTTCAACATAATTAAAATGAGAACAAAGGTCAATTAAATACGCATTATTAAGGATAACTCGAAAACTACTAGTCAGATCGTGATAAAATTTTTTGGAACCACAAGAAAAGTACCAGCTTTCAGAAAAAAAGAATCATCAAAATCGGTTCACCCAGAGAAAAGTTGTGAGGTAATACATAAAAAACATACAGTCGAATTGAATACCTCCTCCGTTTTGAAGTCGGTAAAAATGGGTTATATCGACCGGGGAAAGACCACCCTCTCACATTATACCAATATAAAATAGTAGAATAATACTTGCTATGTTCGTATTAGAAAACCGGAAACGTTCTTGCGAGTAACGAGGCATTCCATCTTAGTCGTCAGGGGTGACAACGCATCTGCATTTTCATTTTAATCAAATAAAGATTTCTATATCTATGGATCAGTATTTGCTTACCTATTATTAGACTGTGATTATATCGTATTTATTAAGATTAGATCTAAGATTATCAAGAACTATTTATATGATCAAGTTTTCGTTTACTTTAAAAAAAATTGGAAACAATATAACCTAAATCACTCCTTGCATTCCTTTCTATCCGTTCTGGAAGTGTCATCACAATTGGTTTTGCCATTTGCCCGAAGGTTAGTCCGGACAGATAGACAGACAAAAATAAAAAAATGGTTTTCATGTTTTAATAGTATGCAAATAATCCGCTCGGATTAATATTAGGCAGTTATTTAAATATTACAGACAGATTCCAATTATATTTATATATGTACTTTCATAGATAATAAACACGAAACCTTGAGATGTTTTTGTACTCAATTGAAGAAATAATTGTGTGCGCCATTAAAATCCTAATAAAAAAAATCAGTAAATATGTTATTTGTCAAAACAAACAGAAAACCATGTTCAATTTTCAAATATCGAACGAATCCAGACTTAACAGATCAATCATCATTTATATTCCGGCACTTTCAACGCTACGTCAAAATGTAAATCCATTTCGATGTATGAAAATAAAAAAGCCATCGAGCCCTGTATTCCTTTTCTACAGTTATAATTACGAAATCTTAATTTATAAAAATTTATGTTTGTTTGTTCATGTTTTATGTGCAGCCATACCGTTCATCAGATCGTGGTAAAACTTATTGCTTGCACTTGCGCAAAGACTATAGGCATAGTGTATTTAACGTACAGTAGGTGAAACGCATATCGTACCAACATTTTTTTTAAATTTATAATATATATTTCAATTTTATTTAATGTATTATTATCGTTTCAAAATAAACAATAACTGTTCCATTTTTTTATAGGATAGGGTAATAAACGAGCACACAGTCCTCCTGATAGTAAGTGGTTGCTGTGGCCCATAGACATCTACGAATCAAAATGCAGATGCGTTGTCACTCGTGAGGACTAAGATGGAACGCCTCGTTTCCAGTAAAAAGGGTCACCGGTTCTCCACACTCGCCATATGAAACACAGCAGCACGCTGGTATTCTGTGAGAGCGTGGTCCTTCCCCGGTCGAGCTAAACCATTCGTGCTACAACTATACTACTAATATAATTGCATCATGGCTCTACCACGTATTAAATTTAAAACGATATTTCGACAATTTTTTTCTGCTGCAGCGCTCTGGGTACCAGCTGGTTACAATATAATTAATAATCTTTGAGTTCACCGTATGACACGTCACGTCAACGGCCGCAAATATGATTGGACGTTTTCATATAAATTACAACGCCGGGCGGAGCGTATTGGTATAATTAAAAAGCGAAGATTATTATCGCCTCACCAACCAGCCAGGTTTCCGGTGCGTAATTGTTAATAGGGTAGCTCTGAATAGAGTTTCTTAATGAATAATAACATTGTTTTCCATGTAAATAGTTCCACGCTTCAAGAACTGACCGTTTTTAAATTGGTCACCCGACTCCGCTTTGAATAAAAATTTATAAAAAGTAATTAAAATAGTTGTTCATAACCATTATTTTAACTAAGTAGGGATTAACAATGAATTGTTGAAAAACTTTAATGGAATATATTAAAAGAAATATAAGAAGGATTTTCATTCAAAGGATAAGTAAATGGAACCGAAGAAAGGTTTCCATAAAATTGGGTCCGCTTAAATATTCTACCTATAGTTCCTTTCAAAGAATCTTCAATATTTTATAATAAGTATTATAACAGAGGAGTGAAATGTAATAAAAATTTTAGTATTCAACTTGATATCTTTTTATAAATTATAAAAAAAATTAGGTGGTAGAGCTATGCTGCAGCTATATTGTGGTTGTAGAACGATTGGGTCGATTCGACCGCTTTCACAGAATATCAGCGTATAAATATGCTGCTATGTTCGTGAGTGTAGAGGACAAGAGACCGTTTCTACTGGAAATGAAGCATTCCATCTCAGTCCTCAGGGGTTGACAACCTGTCTGCGTTTTGATTCATAAAACCATCAGGTTGACTGTGTGTCGTTTGTCACTCTTATTCTATAAAAAAAATGAAGATGATCTGAGTAGTGTGCTGCAAAGCCCGAACAACGTGGGTGACTGATTTGTTTTTGCAGTTTTTTAAATTATTTTGAAATTTATTTATAATCATCTCAACTCACTGCTATTTGTTGCGTGCTACTGGGTTTGCACAGTAGGAAATGTATTAATAAATTATTATAATTTATAAAATTTCACCATAACACAATGCGTGAGGTGAACTCAGATCGATACCCGCTGGTATTGATAATGGCAGTTTTGAGTGCTTTAATAATTTAGCGTCTGCTCGATAAAAGAAAGCATTGCGAGTGAACCAGCATAATAGTTTAATTGAATAAAAATATTTCGAGTCCTATCAATTCCACTAAAACGAATTAGGGCAACGTAGATCTGTGTTCTTCTTTTGCCTGAACCCATTCAGAAATAAGTGGAGGTTTGTACCAAGTAGCAGGCCTTATATGTAGGTTTACTTTACTGATTTATTGTTTTTCTTTATCGGTTAGAGACCAGGTAGTAGAACCATGCCGCAGCTTTATTATGGTTATAGGTCGAATATGGTTATAGAAGGAAGGTCCATAATCTCCTTACCAGCGTAAAATAACAGCTCAATGCTGCTGTGTATCTTGTAGTAAGTGTAGAGGACCCTTTTTACTGAAAACATTCCGTATTATTTCACAGGAGTGACAACGTATCTGCATTTTGATTCTCCATCGAGGATAAATGTAGATGTCTAGAAGCCATAGCATGCTATCTACTATAAGTGGAGTGTGTGCCCGATTATCGCCCTTATTCCGTATATAAACAAAGAAATTGTTGGTAACGGGCAGCTCTCGATATATACTCGTAGGTCTTCACGCTTGGCAGGCGTCTCGTATCTTTGACGTTGCTGCCCGTCATCTCTGTATATTTTGAGTTTGACAAGATGATTATACCGTCATTTATTGGAGCTATATGGCTTTACTGGCATTTACATATTCGCCTCTTACGATCGACGGGATGAAACGGCATGATGGATTACTCTAAGGCTGCCCACACACGGA